AAATATGAATAAGGAAAAAAGAAGGAAACTGATAATCGGTAATAGAAAAATAAGTAGAAAAAATTATAATAATTCGGTTATATCAGAAAAAAGAAGAAAAAAGGATGAAAAATAACAATTAGGTAATATAAAAAAAAAGAAAAATGATAGACAAGAAAAAAAAAGGAGGAAAATGATAGATTCGGTAATATCAGAAAACAGAAAGAAAAAAGAGGAAAAATAACAAATTAGATATATCAAAAAAAAAAAGTAAATGAAAATGATAGACAAGGAAAAAAAGGAGGAAAAATGAATATAATTCGGTAATATCGGCTTGGCACGGAGGCCGATTCGCTCCATAGATAAGATACGGAGGCGATACGGCGGGGAAGTTGGGGACACAGAGAATCATTAGAGGAGCGTTGGTTTGCTGAGTGTCGGCGGGGCGGGGGCGGGGGCGGGGGGGAGGGGGGGCGGGGGAGGGGGCGAGTGTGGGGGGCGGGGAGGGAGGGGAGGGGGGAGGGGGGTATCATGCAGCGGCGGATGAGAATGAATGCTGGAGTTCACGCTGTAAGGTTATGTTGCATGCGTCTAGAGGGGGGGATGGGGGAGGGGGAGGAGGGAGGAGGAAGGGGGAGGAGAAGGAGGGAGGGGTGGATGGGAAAGGGAGGAGAGGGGGAGGGGGATAGGGGGGAGGGAAGGGAAGGAAGGGGGGGGAGAGGGGGGAGGAGGAAAGGGGGAGGGGAAAGGGAGAAGAGGGAGGGAAGGGGATGGGGAAAGGGAGAGGAGGGAGGAGAGGAGGGGAGAGGGATGGGGAAAGGGGGAGGGGGATGGGAAAAAAGGGGGAGGAGAGGGGGTGAAGGGGAGTGATGCACTTGCAAGAGCCGCGGTTCCACGCTGCACACTCACGAGATTCACCTCTCGACGTCAGCAGCGCCGGTCATGTTACCGTGGAGCGAGCATGTCAAGAAATGCCGCCGTTCATTTCGTGGCCGTTTCGAGAGAAGCCAAAAAAAGCCGTATTACTGTCGCCTTTGGACACCGGGGAGGAGCGGGGCTGGCGAGGGCGAATTCCGCAGAGGGGCGGGGGGGCGGGGTGGGGGGAGGCTATCACTCGATCCGTTTATCTGTCTGTCTGTCTCTGTCTATGTAACTATCTATCTATCTATCTATATATCTATCTTTCTATCTGCCTACCTGTCTATTTATCAGTATATACATATACTTAATGTATATATTTATATATGTATATGTATGTGTGTGGTGTGTGTGTGTATGTGTGTATGCATATATGCATATGTGTGTGTGTGTGTGTGTATAAGGTACGAGAGAGAGAGAGAGAGAGAGAGACGAAACAGAGAGACAGAGAGAGAGACAGACAGAAACAGAACAGAGAGAGAGAGACAGAAACAAAGAGAGAGAGAAGAGAAAGAGAAAGAAAGAGAGAGAGGACAGAAACAGAAACAGAGACAGAGAGACAGAGAGAAAGAAAGAGAGAGTGAGAACAGAAACAGAGACAGAAACAGAGAAAGAAAGAGAGAGAGAGACAGAAACAGAGACAGAAACAGAGAAAGAAAGGAGAGAGAAAGACGACAGAGAGAGAGACAGAAACAGCACCAGAGACAGCGACAGCGAGCGAAAGGGGCTGTGAGAACCTCAGGATAATGGTAATGGCCACGAGTGCAGGGAAACCTAAGTCCATCACCGCCAGAGCAGCGCCGCCTCGTGTGCTGTGTTTGTGCTTCCTGTTTGTTTGTTTGGATGTCTGCACGGCCATGTAAAGGTATCTATCTGTCTATCTATCTATCTGTTTGTCTCTCTATCTATCTGTCTGTCTATCTATCTGTCTATCTATCTATATATCTAGGTAGCTATCTATCTGTCTGTATATCTATCTATCTGTCTGTCTATCTATCTATCTATCTATCTATCTGTCTATCTATCTGTCTATCTATCTGTCTATCTATCTATCTGTCCATCTATCTATCTATCTGTCTATCTATCTATCTATCGATCGATCTATTTATCTATCTATATATGTGGGTGCGTGTGCGTGCGTGTTGTGTGTGTGTGTGTGTGTGTGTGTGTGTGTGTGTGTGTGTGTGTGTGTGTGTGTGTGTGTGTGTGTGTGTGTGTGTGTGTGTGTGTGTGCATGCATGTGTGTGTGTATGTGTACCTGTACTTGTTTTTATGCATGTATGTATGATGTAAGCAGGTACGTATGTATTTTTTATGTGTGTGTATGTGTGTATGGCACACTGATATAAACATAAACTTGTGTTCTTCCTCCCCTGCATATAAGGGTATATATATGTGTCTTTGTGTTGGGTTTACGTATTGAGCATTGTGTGCGTGTGTGTGTGTTTGTTTTGTTTTGTGGTGTGCGTGTGTGGTGCGTGTAGGTTGTGTGTGTGTGTTTGTTTAGGTTTGTTGTGTGTGCGTGTGTGTCTGTATGCATGTATGTGTGGTGTTGGTCTGTGTGTGGGTGCGTGTCTGTATGTATGTGTGCGTGTGTGTGTCTCTCTGTATATATATGTGTGTGCGCGGAGGAGGAGACGCAGCTTAAATGTAATTTTCGAGGCGGGATAACAGCGAGTCCGCCCTGGGTTCCCGTTTTCTATAATCCCGCCTCACCGGGTGCACCTCCACATTCCTTCGACAGTTGCCTCATGCAGGGCGCTGCCACATGCGGAGGGGAGAAGGGAGGAATAGGAAGAGGGAGAGAAGGAAGAGGAAAAAGAGAAAGAAGAGAGGGAGGAGAAGAGGAAAAGAAAAAAAGAGAGAGAAATAAGAGAGAGAGACGAACGAGAGGAAAAAAGAGAGACAGAAGGAGAAGGAAAGAAAGAAAAGAAAGAGAACGAGAGAGAAAATTAAGAAAGAGGGACAGAAGAAGGAAGAAGAGGAGGAGAAACAAAAGGAGGGAGAAGGGAAAGAAAAAAAAAGAAAGGGACAGAAGAAGGAGAAAGAGGAGAAAGAAAAAGAGGGAGAAGGGAAAAGAAAAAACAGAGAAATAGAGAGAAAAATAAGATATAGATACTTGCATTGATAATGTTGATAAAAAGACGAATTACAAGGATTTAAAGAACAACCTTCGTGACTCAGTGAGCTCACACATATCAACTATGACATTCAGATCCGAAATTATCCCCCCCACCCCCACCCCCCAAAAAATACCACCACACACACACACACACACACACCACACACACACACACACACACACACACACACACACACACAACACACACACACACACACACACACACACACACACACACACATACTACTATCTATCTATCTATCTATCTACATCTATCTATCTATCTACATCTATATCTAATCTATCTATCTATCTATACTATATATATATATATATATATATATATATATATATATATATATATATATATATATATATATATTCCTCTAATTCGGAAAATGAAATGGAGGCAAAGCTTAACCACCCAAAATGAAAGTAAAAAGTAACAAAAAAGGAAGGGAAGGATAAATAAAGAAAACGTAAAGAAAAAAGGAAGGAAGAGGAAAGACAAAAGAAGAAATAAAAGAAAAAGGACAGAAGAAAAAAAACTAAAGAGGAGAAAAAGAAAACAAAAAAAGAAAGGAAGATAAATAAAGTAATACAAAAAAGAGAAAAGAGATAAGATAGTAACAAAAAAGGAAGGAAAGAGAAAAAATAACAATGAAGAAAGGAAAAAAAAACGCAAAAAAAAAAAAAGAAAAAACTAAACGAAAAAAGCAATAAAAAGCTAACAAAAGGAAAAAAAAAAGAGAAACAAACAAAAAAAAACAAACAACAGAAAGTTAAGGAAAGAGAACCGCCCACCGACCTGGAGGCGAGGACACGAGGGCGGGCGGAGGTCGAGACACACTCCGAGGGCGCAGCATGGGTGGCCACGGAAGTTTTAGGGCGAAGTTACGCTGCGGGAAGACTTGTCACTTGCCGGGGCGTCAGGGGCGGATGGGCGGGTGGGCGGGTGGGCGGGGGACGTCGTGCGCTGGGGATATGCGGGTGTGCGTATGTGCGTGTGTACGGTATATGGTATAGGTGTATATGCATGTGATATCGATTCATGCGTGTGTGTGTGTATACATATGTTATTGTGTGTGTGTGGGTGTGTGCATATTATTTTTTTTATCTATTTCTATATGTGTCTGCGCAAGGTTATAGAAGTATACATGTATATATTATGTTTGCATACAATACAATACATATATACAAACACACACACAACACACACACACACACACACACACACACACACACACACACACACACACACACACACACACACACACACACACACACACACACACACACACACATACACACACACAACACCATACACATACACACACACATACATACATATATATATATATATATATATATATATATATATATATATATATATATAATATATATAATATTATATGTATAATATATTAGTATTGTATAGAAATATATATATATATAAGTATATAATATATGTATATATGATATATGTATGTATGTATATATGTGTATATATATAAGTATATAACATATGTTGTGTATATATATATATATTATATATATATATATGTATATATGTATATAAATATATGTATATTATGTATATATGATATATATATATACATATATATATAGACACCATATCCTATGTTACCTAGTGAAACAAAGGGACTGCGGTAACCCCTAGGAGTGACGTCACCCAATACCCCGCTCGCGTGATCCGTCTCCGGGCGGCGGACGAGGAAGACAGAGACAGAAAGAGAACAAACAGGCGAGAAAAATGAGTTTTTCGGCCACACGAGAAGGTTTGCGGACGAATAGGGCGGCGTGGGCGTGGGTGGGCGGGGTGGGCGGGGGTGGGCGGGGTGGGGAGGTATTGTAGTTAGTAAAAAGAGGCCGGGTAATAGTGCGAATTAGCGCCCGTGGGTTGGAGTTTACGGTTGTTTTTGCATACGGTGTTTTGGAGAGTGACTTCCATGAGGGGTGTTTAGAAAAATTCGTGGTCTGTTGGGTGCGATATGGCGGGGGGCGTTGGGGACGTTGGGGGCGGGTGGGCGTTGGGGATGTTGGGGGGGTGGGCGTTGGGGATGTTTTGGGGCTGGGGCAGGGCGTTGGGGGATGTTGGGGGCGGGTGGGCGTTGGGGGATGTTGGGAGCGGGTGGGCGTTAGGGATGTTGGGGCGGGTGGCGTTTGGGGACGTTGGGCTGCGGGCTGGGGGTTGGGGATGGTTGGGCGGGTGGCGTTGGTGTGGGCGGGCGGGTGGCGTGGGGATGTTGGGCGGGGTGGGCGTTGGGATGTTGGGGCGGGTGGCTGGGATGTTGGGGCGGGTGGGGGGGGATGTTGGGGCGGGCGGGTGTGAGGGATTTGGGGGCGGGTGGGAGGGGGTTGGGATGTTGGGCGCGGTGAGGGCGATGTGACGCATAGCGCAAATTGAAATACGGGATGACGCATAGCCACAACATAGCGAATGTATAGGCAACATAGCGTAGGTATGATGAGGAATGCTACCAAAGATATTTCACAATTTACTGAAAATAACAGACCGACCCACAATTAGTTTTTATTGGAGATTCTTTAAAAAGGAAGAGGTAGAGTGATCCGAGGAAAGGAGGCAGGGGAAATGTAGAGAAATAAGGAGGAAAGGGAAAAGAAAAGGGAGAAAGGAGAGAGAGAGGGGAGGGAGGAAAAGGGAAAAGGAAGAGAGGAAGAGAGAGAGGGGGATAAAAAACGAGAAAGAGGCAGAAAAGAGAGAGAGAGAGAGAGAGAGAGAGAGAGAAGAGACAGAGAGAACAGAAAGCAGATAGATAGAGGCAGAGAAAAAAAGAGAGAAAGAAAGAAAGAGAGAGAGAGCGCTAAGCTGGAGGTGCGTGCGTGGAGGGCGATGGCGAGGGGGGGGGGGGCAGAGCAGAGGATGACGTCACTGTCTGCAAGCAATGGGATTGTCTGCAGGATTGGGTTAGCGCCGGGGGGGGGGGGGGGATAGCTGTTTTCTTTACACGTTTTATTTGCTTTGTTTGTTCATCTTATTTCTCTTTCTTTCTTTCTCTCTCTCTTTCTCTCTTCTCTCTTTCTCTCTTTCTCTCTCTCTCTTCTCTCTCTCTCTCTCTCTCTCTCTCTCTCTTCTCTCTCTCTCTCTCTCTCTCTCTCTCTCTCTCTCTCTCTCTCTCTCTCTCTCTCTCTCTCTCCCTCTCTCGTCTCTCCTCTCTCTCTCTTCTCTCTCTCTCTCTCTCTCCCGTGGCTTTCATTTGACATTTTGTTCGTATACTCATACCGTTGGGAAAAGTTCATTAGTCAGTCAGTCAGTTATTCTTTATGTCGGATATTAATTATTGATATGTTTATGATTTTTCCGTCTATCTGGTTGTTCGCTTCATGTATCTTTTTATCTTGAATTCTGTCTGTTTATCTATACAATTAGGCTAATAATTGGCTAGTTTATCTGTCATTCTTTTGCTTAATTATCCATCTGTCATATGTGTATAATTTTGTATCTATAGTTATTCATATATGTTTAATTTGGATCTATAGCTGTTCATATATGTATCATTTTGTATCTATAGCTATTCATTATATAATATTGTATCTATAGCTATTCATATGTTTATAATTTTGTATCTGTAGCTATCCATATATGTATAATCTTGTATCTATAGCTATTCACATATGTATAATTTTGTATCTATAGCTATCCATATATTTATAATTTTGTATATGTAGCTATGCATATATATTAATAATTCTGTATCTATAGCTATTCATATATGTATAATTTTGTATCTATAGCTATAGCCATAATTAATAATTTTGTATCTATAGCTATTCATATATTTATAATTTTGTATCTGCAGCTATTCATATCTGTATCTATAGCTATTCATATATTTATAATTTTGTATCTGTAGCTATTCATACCTATAGCTATTCAAAATTAATATTCGTGTAATTCTTTCTCACCTAATCCATTTACGTATAGTTCTTCCCCCTCTAATCATCATTTATTCCTATACACACAACCATTCCTACGTAATCATTCCTTATTCCCATCCGTATAATTCCTCCTGTCTCGTTTATCTCATTATCCCCGAATATGTGATTCTTTATTCATATGCCTTTTGTGAATGTTGTTTATTGCATCATCGCGTGCTGGAAGAGATAATATTGTCAACATTACTGGATGAGCGAGGTAATGAGAGAGGCCAATGTGTAATCTCTAAAGTAAGTCCTGTGAGAGATAGAGGGAGGGAGAGAGGGAGGAGGAAAGGGAGAGGAAAAGAGAGAGAGGGGGTGGATATAAAAAACGAGAAAGTGGCAGAAAAGAGAGAGAGAGGCAGAGAAAGAAAGACAGATAGATAGAGACAGAGAAAAAGGAGAGTAAAGTAAGTCCTATGAGCCGTAGTGCAGCCCAGGAGGTCAGGGCACGGCAGGGGGGCATTATTGCACAGTGCAGTGCAGGGGGTTTTTCGGGCTTTTATAGGGCGTGGTTATTGTGCGGTGTTCCTCGGGTGTTCAGGGTAGGCTTTACGGTCAATAGGTCAGTTTAGGTCCGTCCACCCTAGTCAACAATAATCACCTATTATCCCACCAATATTATCTCACCATCCTCACCACCAATATTATCCTCACCACCAATATTATCCTCACCACCAATATTATCCTCACCACCAATATTATCCCCACCACCAATATTATCCCCACCACCATTATCCCCCAAAATTATCCCCACCACCATTATCCCCACCAATATTATCCCCATTAAATTAAATAAAACGGGACTTCTATGACTAGTATAAACCGCGTGCGTTTGCCACAGTAGATTAATTATGCTGATTGATAACGTAGATAAAAAAGTCTCGTCTTATATTATCTAGAACATCCGATGATTAGTAATCGTTAACCGGGGGAATTATGGGTAGATTTATATTATATACGGTCAACAAAGAGCCATTAAAAGTCGACTGTTTCGTGAGGCAGAAGGTCCGCTGTCTTCTCCCATTAATTCAGTGGGTTCCTTCCTGGCTTTTTTTTTTTTTTTTTTTTTTTTTTTTTTGTCTGAGTTGTGCTTGGTGTTGTTATTTGAGGTTGTTATTATCGTGTCTTTTGTTACCGATATTATCATGATAATTATCGCCTTTTTTCTCCCATTAATTCAGTGGGTTCCTTCCTGGCTTTTTTTTTTTTTTTTTTTTTTTTTTTTTTTTTGTCTGAGTTGTGCTTGGTGTTGTTATTTGAGGTTGTTATTATCGTGTCTTTTGTTACCGGTATTGCTATGAGTATGATTCGGGACAGGACTGAACAGGGATTCCGATCATACTGGGAAACGTTATGAATGGAAACGTTTTTTTTTTTGTTTTGTTTGTTTTATGCCATGATTTTAAGCCGTTTCTCACCTTTTTTTTCTATTTTTCTTTGATTTTTTTAAAAATCTCCATTTCCATCGTCATCGGTCTTACCATCGACATCATTATTCCCACCACCAGTATCATCTCCACTACCATTATCACCTCCACCATTACCTCACAACCACCATTATACCCACCACAATTCTCCTCACCAACACCATCATCTCACTAAGCCTCACCACCATTATCACCGTCCTCACCAGCATCACCATTATCCCCACCAATATCATCACGGTATCATCACACATTATCCTCGCCAATATTATCACCACACCATTATCCTCGCCAATTTATCACCCCACATTATCCCCATCAATATCATCACCACCATTATCCTCACCAATATTATCACCACCATTATCCTCGCCAATATTATCACCACACCACCATTATCCTCGCCAATATTATCCCCACTACCATTATCCCGACCATCACTATTATCCTCACCATCATTATAACCACTACCTCTATCACCACCAAATCATCGTATTTTCATGTGCCTAACTTTTCCGATATCTGATACCTGTTTTTTCCCCATATTATATTTCATTCTTCTATCTTCTGTTTTTTCCCATTATTATATTTCATTTCTTCCTATTCATTATTATTATTATATTTCATTCTTCCTATTTCCTGTTTTTTCATTATTATATTTCATTCTTTCCTATCTTCCCTGTTTTTCCCATTATTATATTTCATTCTTCCTATCTTCCTGTTTTTTTTCCATGTTTTTTCCATTATTATATATTCATTCTTCCTATCTTCTATTATTATATTTCATTCTTCCTATCTTCCTGTTTTTTCCCATTATTATATTTCATTCTTCCTATCTTCCTGTTTTTTTCCCATTATTATATTTTCATTCTTCCTATCTTCCTGTTTTTTCCCATTATTATATTTCATTCTTCCTATCTTTCCTGTTTCTTCCCATTATTATATTTCATTCTTCCTATCTTCCTGTTTCTTCCCATTATATATTCCTTTCTATCTTCCTGTTTCTTTCCATTATTATATTTCATTCTTCCTATCTTCCTGTTTTTTCCCATTATTATATTTCAAATATCATTCCTATCTTCCTGTTTCTTCCCATTATTATATATCATCTTCCCATCTCCTGTTTTTTTTTTCCCATTATTATATTTCATTCTTTCCTATCTTCCTGTTTTCTTCCATTATTATATTTCATCTCGTTTCTATTATCATCACAACCATTATCACCATGAGGCGCCGCCATTACAGTTTTCGAAATGCTATTATTTATTGCATTTTCACCTCCTATCGCCGGACTTCCTCTTCCCACCTCTTTTATTGTTGGTGTCGCATTTCCACTCGTTCCTGTCATTGCCATTGTCGCCCCTGTCCGTCGCTCCCCCCTGTCGTGCTCCCCCCCCCCTGCCTCCTCCTTCCTCTTGAATTTCTAGCCCCAACCCCCTTGGCCCTCTTCCTACTCTACCTCCTTCTCCCTCCCTCTTCTCCCCTTGAATTTCTAGCCTCCAACCCCTCCCTCTCCCTAAACCTTCTTCCTCTTGATTTCTAGCCTCCCAACCCCTCCCCTGCTCCTATCCCCTCCCTCCTCTCCTCTTGAATTTCTAGCCCTAACCTTGGCCCTCTTCGCTACTCTACCTTTCTTCTTTCCCCTCCTCTTCCCCCTTGATTTCTAGCCTCCCCTATCCTTACCTCCTCCTTCCCTTTCCTCTTCTCTTGAATTTCTAGCCCAACCCCTCCTCTCTTCCCTGCCCTTACTCTCCTTCCTCCCCTCTTCTTCCTCTTGAATTTCTAGCTCCCAACCCCTCCCTCTCCCTACCCTTGCCCTCCTTCCCTCCCCTCCCTTCCTCTTGAATTTCAGTCTCCCCAAACCTCCTCTCCCTACCCATCTCCCTTCCCTCCCTTCCCCTTGAATTTCTAGCCTCCCTTTCCTTCCCCCTCTCCCAATACCCCCCCCCCCTCTCCCTGCCGGCTTGCGTAGTCCCTCCCACCTCATCACGGCCCATTCACACCAGCTTCCCCACGCCCCCACCAACACCCAAGCCTCCACAGGCCCCTAGGACCCCCACAGCCCCCCAGGACCCCACAGCCCCCCAGGACCCCACGACCCTCCACAGGCCCCCCAGGACCCCCAACCCCACGGCCTCCCACATCCTCCTCCCCTAGGACCCCTTCCACAGCTACCCCCAATCCCCTAGGACCACCCCCAACCCACAGCCCAGGACCCCACAGGCCAGACCACAGCCCCCAGGACCCCACATCCTCCCCCTAGGACCCCACAAGCCTCCCACAGCCCCCCTCCAGGACCCACAGCAGGCACGGGCGGCCGGCAAGAAAGTTACGGGTGGGCGTGGAAGAATCCGCCCGAAAAACCGAGTTCCCCACAATGGGCGGGCCGGGAATCGGAGCCGTGGCGGTTCAGCGCGGTTGATCACGGTTTCGCCAGAGGTGGGGGGGGGGCGGGGGGGGTCACGTCCGAAAAGGCTCTCGCTCTCTCTCTCGCTTTCTCTCTCTTTCGTCTTCTTCTCTCTTTTGTTTTTTCATTCTTTTCTCTTGTCTTCTCTCTTTTTATTTTTTTTTCGCTTCATTTTTTCTTTCTTCTCTCTCTCTCTTGCTTTCTCTCTCTTTCTCTTCTCTGTCTTCTTCTCTCTTTCTCTCTCTTTCTCTGTTCTGTCTCTGTCTGCTCTCTCTCTTTCTCTCTCTCTCTCTTCTCTATTACTCTCTCTCTCTCTCTCTCCTCTCCTCTCTCTCTCTCTCTTCTCTCTCTCTCTCTCTCTCTCCTCTCTCCTCTCCCTCCCTCTCTCTCTCTCTCTCTCTCTTCTCTCTCTCTCTCCTCTCTCCCTCTCTCTCTCTTCCTCTCTCTCCTCCCTCCCTCTCTCTTCTCTTCCTCTCTTCTCTCTCTCTTCTCTCTCTCTCCCCTTCCCTCTCCTCTCTCTCTCTCTCTCTCTCTCTTCTCTCTCTCTCTCTCTCTCTCTCTCTCTCTCTCTCTCTCTCTCTCTCTCTCTCTCTTCTCTCTCTCTTCTCTCTCCTCTCCCTCTCTCTCTCTCTCTCTCTCTCTAACCTCCGTGTTTTCGCATAATCCTTCACCCATCAAAGGACACCGAGTCAAGTAAGGGACGAGTAAATCACAGGTTATGGCAACCTGCTCTTATTAGATCAACTCCTGACGAAACCTTAAAAAAAAGAAAAAAAAAATGGAAAAAATAGATGGTCGAGTTCACAATGAAAAAAAGGAAAAAATAGATGGTCGAGTTCACAAAATCATATGAAAAAAAGACAAAACAAGGAAAAAATAAGATGGTCGAGTTCACAAAATCATATGAAAAAAATGAAAAAAGGAAAAAATAAGATGGTCGAGTTCACGAAATCTTAAAAAAAAAAAAAAAAAAGGAAAAAATAAGATTATATGAAAATTATATGAAAAAAAAAACAAGGAAAAAATAAGATGGTCGAGTTCACAAAATTATATGAAAAAAAGAAAAAAAAAGGAAAAAAATAGATGGTCGAGTTCACAAATCTTAAAAAAAGAAAAAAAGGAAAAAATAAGATTATATGAAAATTATATGAAAAAAAGAAAAAAAAGGAAAAACTAAGATGGTCGAGTTCACAAAATGATATGCCTTTGTTTCCGGACCGGAGCCGCTTTAGCTTTAATGAGCCTCTTCGGGCAACGGGACGCATTTCCGAACCGAGATTGACGGTCACGCAAAACCCGACGCGGGAGGGTGTCCTCGGGTCGGTTCCTGCCGCTGGCGATCTGGGAGTCCCTCTCGGTCGTCCCTCTCTCTCTTCTCTTCTCTCCTCTAATCCTATTCTTCTATTTCCTTTCCTTCGCTTTCGTCTCTTGTTCTTCTCTTCTCTTTCCTCTATCCTTCTCTTTTCATTCCTCTCTTCTTGCTATGTACCTTATCTCTTCTTTTCCTCATTCGCTAAAGATCCCTTTTTTCGTCTTCCACATACCTCTTCTCCTTTTATCTCCCTTCTCCTCCCATCACATTCTCCCTCTTTCCTCCCACCATCTCCTTTCTCCCTTCCTCCCCCCTCCATTCCACATCCCTCATCCCCCCCTTTACACCCCACCCACACCCTTTACCCCCCCCCCTTCCCCTCCCGTCCCCGCCCCCAACGCACACAGGGCCCTGGAGGTGTTCCTTCGGCAGCGACCTTCTCTCGGAAACCGGATTCCAGCTCCAAGTCTTAGGTTTCGGGAGCTCAAGTTCGCGCAGCCGGTAATCAGCTTCACCCGCGTCCTGAAGAGGGAGAGGGAGAGAGGAGAGAGGGAGAGGGAGGGAGAGGAGGGGGAGGGGGAGTGGGAGTGGGGAGTGGGAGAGAGGGAGAGGGGAGGGAGAGGGAGGGAGGGAGAGAGAGGGAGAGAGAGGAGGGAGAGGAGAGAGAGAGAGAGAGAGAGGGAGAGGGAGAGAGAGAGAGGGAGAGAGGAGAGAAGAGGGAGAGAGAGAGAGAGAGAGAGGAGGAGAGAAGAGAGAGAGGCTGACGACGGAAGGCATTTTTCATCCCTCCAACCTTGTGCCCATTTCGCAGGCTCCGTTTGGCGACGAGGCTCACCGACCGTTCCCGCGTGTTACTACGGCCGTCCGAGTTATCTTGGCCATCGATCATTCAGAATGCCCTCCAATCCCACCATTACACGCCTGGGCATTAACTGCAAAAAATCCAGGCGTTTATTACCGCGGAGCCCCGTCGGTGAGCGCCAGTGGGTCGTCCCTCGCCGCTCGCGCCGCCAAGCACCGAAAGGGAGAGACAAACACGGAAGAATTAAGGGAAGACGCGACCGGCCCCAAATTGCCTTGTATGAGTAGACCCTCGATTCCATCAGCGGAGTATTGGCTCCGGAAGATAAGAATCAGCCCTGATGACCCCCCGACCTTTGACCGGCCAAATGACCTGACCGTGGCTGTCCGTACAGAGAGCGCGGACGGAATGGCCGGTGCTAAAAGGTGTCGTTCGGCGCCGCGCTCGTCTCGGCCGCAATAAGGCGACCGTAAGACGATTGCTGGCCCGGTTCGGCCGCGGCGCCGCCCCCCTCGTGCCGGCCCTCCCGACGTCCCTCATCTACCTAGATTATTCCGAATATTTACATAGAAAAGCGATAGGGATAACATATCTGCCCTCGCGTCGAGAGCCGGGAGGAGGGGCGGGGCGGGAGAGGGGAGGAGGGGCGGGGGCGGGGAGAGGGAGGGGAGGGGAGGAGGGGGGAGGGGGATGGCGAGGCTGGGAAGGAGAGGGGAGGAGGGAGAGGGAGAAGAGGTATGGGAGAGGAGGGGAGAGGCAGGAAAGGAGATGGTAGGAAAGAGGAAGAGGAAGCGGGGGAAGGGTTGCTAGGAAGGAAAGGAGAGGAGGAAAAGGAATAGTACACAGGGGAAGGAGGAGAGGCTGGGGAGGAGCCAGGAGAAGGAAGAAAGAAAGGAGGCAAGAGAAGGGGAGAGAGATGCCAGGAAGGAGACTGGAAGAGGAGGAAGAGAGGGAGAGAAGAGAAGAAGGAAATTGGAAGAAGGGAAGCAAGAAGCTAGAAGGAAAAGAGAAAAGAGAGACAGAAAGAAATGAGTGACTGAAGCAGAAGAGAGAAGGAGGGTGGGAAGGACAACGCAGAGGAAAATAACGAAAAGAGAAGAGGGAGAGACGATTGAGTAAGAGATTGGTGAATGAAACGTAATCGATAAAGAGAAAACATAGAGGAATGGATGATTAGAAGGATTAAGAACGGACGTAGAAAATGGAAGATTAAAAGGGATCAATAAAGAGAAGGCAAAGAATAATGGAAGATTAGAAAGAATCGATAAAGAGAAGACATAGAGGAATGGAAGATTAGACGGAATCGATAAAGAGAAGAATGGGAGAATAAGAGATTTCGATAAAGTAAAGGCATGGAAGAATATGCAACTGTAAAAGATTAAAACAGAGAGACGAAGAGAAAAAGAGGGAGAGAGAGAGAGAGAGAAGGGGGAGGGAGAGGGAGAGGGAGAGGGAGAGGAGAGAGAGAGAGAGAGAGAGAGAGAGAAAGAAGAGAGAGAGAGAGAGAGAAGAGGGAGAGGGGAGAGAGAGAGAGAGAGAGGAGAGAGAGAGAGACAGCGAGAGAAAGAGGAGAGAGAGCAAAGAAAGGGGAGAGAGATAGAATAAAAGTATTTAAGAATAAACAGTTCAAAAGATTCGAAAGCAGAGACGACAAGGAGGATAAAAATAATTCGATAAAGGAAAGGCATGGAAGAATAGACAATTAAAGGGATTCTATAAAGAGAAGACATAGGAAAATTAAAGACTAGAGAAGATGCTAACAAAGTGGAAAGCGAAAAAGAAGCAGAAAGAAAAGAAAACGAAAAGAAAAAAGGAAAGGGAGGAGAGCTAAAAAGAAAGAAAGAAAAAAAGGTAAAGATAATGGAATAAATTTGGAACAGCTGATATAAAAAGATAAAGGGTAAGACACATTCTTTATGCAAGTAATCTAAGGAAATGCGTGATAAAAAGTAATAAGCGAGGGAGAGGACGAAGAAAAAAGGAAAAAAAAAACAAAAACAAAATAAAAAACAAGGGGTTTAAAAGAAGGGGAAAATAAGAAGACGAATTAAAGAATAAAATGAAAGGGGAGAGAGAGAAAAAAAAAGATAAAAGAGGGGAACAGAAGGCTATAATTAAACAGTATGATAATGAAAAAAATTAAAGAATGAAAAAATAAGAGTAAAAGGATAAAAGAACAAAAGAATAAGAGAATAAAGGAATAAAAAATATAAAAATAAACAAATAAGCGAATAAAAGAAAAAGAAAATAAAAGGATAAGCGAATAAGAGAATAAAAGCATAAAAGAATAAGAAAATAAAAGAATAAGCAATTAAAAGAATAAGAAAATAAAAGAATTAAGAGAATAAAAGAATAAGAAAATGATAAGAATAAGCAATTAAAAGAATAAGAAAATAAAAGAATTAAGAGAATAAAAGAATAAGAAAATAATAAGAATAAGCGAATAAGAAATAAAAGAATAAGCGAATAAGAAATAAAAGAATAAGCGAATATAAGAATAAGAAAATAATAAGAATAAGCGAATATAAGAATAAGAAAATAATAAGAAAAAGCGAATAAAGGCACAACCCAGATAAGAACAGCGCAAAGCAAGACCGCGCGGGCTGCCGGCGGTTCCGAAGCGACTCTCATTATTCAACTACTTTTCCTCCCCCTCCTTCGTGTCCCTGTTGCTTTTTATTATCATTATCATCATCATTATCATTATCATCATCATCGTCTTCATCATCATCGTCTTCATTATTATCATCATCACCATCATCATCATCATCGTCTTCATCATCATCATCATCATCATTCATTATCATCGTCTTCATCATCATCATCATCATAATCATCATCATCTTCATCTTCATCATCCTCATCATTATCATCGTCTCATCATCATCATCATCATCATCGTCTTAATTATCATCATCATCGTCTTCATTATCATCATCATCATCATTATCATCATTCTTCCATCATCATCATCATCATCGTCTTTCATCATCATCATCACCATCATTATCATCATCGTATTCATCATCATCATCATCATCATCAAGGTTCTTCGCCGACTCGCTTCTATGGAGGAAAGGTCGAGATTTCGGTTTAAAAAAAGGGGAGGCGGAGGTCGTTAGATGAATAGGGAGAGAGAGAGAGGGGGGGGTAGGAAGGGGGTGATAGGGGGGGAGTGGGAGGGGGATAGGGAGGAGGAGAGGGAGTGGGAGGGGAGTGGAGAGGGAGACAGAGAGGGGGGGGTGGGAGTAGAGAGAGAGGGGGAGTGGGAGTGGGAGAGCTAGAGGGAGGGAGGGAGAGGGAAAGGGATAGATGGAGAGAAAGAGTGGGAGAGGAGAAGGAGAGAAAGGGGGAGAGGGAAAAGGAGAGGGAGAGAGAGAAGGAGAAGGAGAGGGAGTGGAAGAACGAGTGAGAGAGGGAGAGGAAGAGGGAGTGGGAGAGGGGAGAGGGAGAAGGAGAGAAAGGGGAGAGGGAGAGAGAATGGAAGGAGATAGAGAGAGGGGGGGGAGAGTCAAGAGAAAAAAAGGGAACGGAATATTAAACACAAACAAGTGAAGCAATTATAAGAAAAAATAGATTGAAAAACTGATGAACGAAAATTGGAAATAAGATGAAATAACGATAAAGAAGATATAGAAAGAAACTAATGATATGAGGGAAAACGAAGGGATATAATCAAGAGAAGAAGAAGAAAAAGGAAAAAGAAACAAAAGGAGATAAACATAAAACCAGAGGGTAGAGAGAAGGAAAGGAGAAGAGAGAGCTAACCTAACTTATCCTAACCCTGATCTAACCTTTTCTAGCCTTAGCCTATCCCTAAGCTAACTCTTTTATAACTGATTCTAGCCTAACTTTGGCCAAATCTAAATTATCCTAACCCTAATCCTAGTCTTGCCTTTCCTTATCTTACCTTATCTTGTTACCTTACTTTACCTTACGTTAACAACAACTAGGTAGAGAGGTTGGAGATGCACAGCTTTCTCTTTCTTTCTTTCTTTCCTCTTTCTCCTTCTCTCTTTCTCTTTCTTTCTCTCTCTCTCTCTCTCTCTCTCTCTCTCTCTCTCTCTCTCTCTCTCTCTCTCTCTCTCTCTCTCTCTCTCTCTCTCTCTCTCTCTCTCTCTCTCTCTCTCTCTCTCTCTCTCTCTCTCTCTCTCGTTATTATTGTTATTAAAGTTCTTGCGGTTAATGCGGTTATTACCATTAATGATATTATGATCATTAATTATCGTTATATTAGTGCTATTATTGTTATTATCATTACTATTACCATTATTGTTATTATCATTACTATTAATACCATTATTATCATGGCAAGTAGCAATATAATTACCATTGTCATTACCATCATTATCCTCAGCTTTAACATCATCAATACTATTCATTCATATAATTTATTTATCTATTTTACGGGAAGATTAGAAAACCAAACGGGATTGGAAGGATGGAAGGATGTGAGGGATAGGACACAATTGCAAGCGTGGCACAGTGCCATTGTAAAGGGCCAAGGGTAAGGGACCGTGGCACCATACCCCCCCCCACACACACAAAAAAAAAAAAATAATGATAATGAAAAGATTTAAAAAATAAAATAATAATGATAATAAAGAAAATAATAATAATGATAATAAAGAAAAGATTAAAAAAAGAAAATAATAATGATAATAAAGAAAAGATTTAAAAAATGATGATAATAATAAAATGAATAGATTAAGGAGAAAGAATGGACGAGAAGATTGGTTGCAGGGAAAGGAGATGACGGAATAAGGTTGAATAAATGATAGAAGGGGAAGAAGGGAGAATAAATGAAGGAGAAGGTAGAATAAGTGATGGAAGTGAAAGAAGGGAGAATAAAGGATGGAAAGGGGAAGAAGAGAGAATAAAGGATGGAAGGGGAAGAAGGCAGAATATATTAAGGAAAGGGAAGAAGGCATAATATATTATGAAAGTGAGATTAGGGAATAAGGCCGGATAAAAGGTGGAAAGGGAATCAGGTAGAAGTGATAAAAGTTGGATTAGGGAATAAGGGAACAAATAAAAGTTGGATTAGACAGAACAAGTGATAGAAAGGGAATAAGACAGAATAAGTGATAAAAGTTGGATGAGCAGAATAATTGATGAGAGAAGAATAAGGCAGAATAACTGATGGAAGGACAATCAGGAAGAATGAGTAATGAAAGTTGGAATAGGCAGAATGAGTGATGAAAAGGGAATTAGAGAAAATAAGTGATGAAAGGTGAATGAGGCAGAGTGAGCGATAAAAGTAGAATAAGGCAAAATAAGTGATGGAAAGGAGATGAGAGTAAGTGGTGATTGTAGAATAGAAGAAGAATAGTGATAAATGTAGAAGAAGGCAGACTGGTGAAATTTTGATGAGGCAGAATGGGTGATGAGCGTAGAATAAGGCAGAATGAGTGATAAAAGTTGGAATAGGCAGAATAAGTGAGGAAGAGTAGAATGGGCAG